TATACCTGCATCATCTCAGGATTAGTTAATTGACGAACAAATTCTGGATTTTGCATCATTTCTCTCAATTGAGGATTCATATCAACCATGCTACGTAGCTGTGGGTTGAGATTGAGGACCTATAGTTCAAATCAAAGAATATGGGAATTACAAAACCTTTCAAATAGCATTGAACTAATTCAGCAGAAATTATTATCATAGAAGCACAGCACTTGATTCATATACTGAGGGTTGGAGAGCAAGCTTTGCATCATCTGTGAAATAGCTGGGTTTTGCAGAAACTGATTCATTTGAGCAGCATCTGGCATGGCACCAGCAAAACGGTCCACATTTGGGCGACCAGTCCCTCCTAGACCTCCAATGCCAGGAGCCCTTGCAGTCACATCACCTGCTGGACTGGGCCGTGTGGTTGTTGTCTGAGATCCTCCTAAGAATTAACATCAAAATATGCCACCATTCAGTAAAGCTGTGATGAACTTTTCATGTTAATGGGTGAAGGAGATGGGAAGTTAGGTCTCCAAATGAATGGTATGAGATTCAACTTTACAATGGATTAAGCTAAACAAGCTCAGGTAAACTCAAGAAACATAGAGTCATGGGCTTATAAATGGAGCAACCAAAATTATACTCCAGTAGAAGAACATTAAAAAAACATAACAGAAAGTAAATAATGGAAAAGAGCTCAGAGTATAGATAGAGAAGAGTACCTTGATGGAACAACCACATAAATCTATAAACATTATCCAAAATATATCATGTCAAAGGAAAATGTACATTAGATTTCCCATTCTAATTCTATTTGAATGCACAAAAAGAAAAAGAAACATAAACAAAATTCAGCTTTCCGAATGCAAACAGGCATCCTATATTACTGATAAAGTKAGCATTTAAAGTATAATAGGTGGAATAGATCAAATTGCAGCCAAAATTGTACCTAACAAGTCTTAAAAGGTATAAGAAAGTAAGTAGCAATGCTTAGCCACTAGCATTATTACCCCACGGATTAGGAAGTGGATTTGTATTCGGAGCAGCATTTCCTGTTGTTTCAGATCCCGTAGTTGAAGAATTATTAGACTCATTTCTAGCTTGTGCGCCACCTTGGTTTGCCAGGAGAGCTGCAAATGGGTTTGAACTCAAATCATTCCCAGCATTTCCACCCATCGTTGTTGCATTAAGAAATGGCTCCTGAACATTTTCATACATCCGTCTCAGCATGTTAAATCCCTCGGGAGAAGATTCAATATTACTCATTGCTCTGTCAGTGTTTCTCATCATCTCTCTCATGAGTTCTGGATTCCTAGCAGCCTCTAATGTCTGTCGAAGAATACCAGGGTCGTTGAGTATATGGGCAAGCTCGGGGTTCCTGTCAATAATATCCCGCATCTGAGGATTGCTCATTATTAAGGTCCGCATCAAGTCGGGATTATTCATCAAATTCTGAATTGCGGGCATGTTCATTATTTCCCTCATCATATTTGGGTTCTGAGTCAACTGTTGTTGCACTTGCTCAAACTCAGGAAGTCCAGCTCCACCTCCACCTCCACCAAGAGGATTAAAACCCAGACCAGGAAATAAAGATGCACCAAGGCCAGCATTTCCAAAAGCACCACCCTCGGTGGAACCAACACCTCTTGTTACACCAGGAGCAGCTTCGGAACTTATATTATTAGCATTAGAAGCAGGTGCAGAAGGTGTTGACGAAGCTTGAGCAAAGCCACGAACCATGTGGATAGTGTGATCTGCCTGTAAACCTTCAAAAAGAAAAACCAAAAGAATATGAAGTCAATTTCAGGTCACAGGTAAGCGTGAAGAAAAAACAAGCCTCATTCCACTTCGGGCGAAGCGGGGTCCGATTCCCTTGACCCCAAAATCTACGTATCCTTAATGCCAATTACAGCACAAAATGCAAGAATGCTAATGACACAACAGGTCCCAGGATCTTCAAATGCAGTGCAATAATGGAGCCTTGATTCACACACAAGGCTACAGACAACAACAAATAATAAGCAACATTTATCGGTATTCGTCTCGCAATAATCAGCCAAATAACAAATAGATTATACTTTTATCCGTCAATCAACATTGGTTGTCACGTTATACTAAATACATATATGGGTCTGAGAATAAAAAAACATTATCAGAATACATAGACCAGCTTCAGAAGGTCACAGAAAAAGAGGAACAGCAGCCAAAATGTAAAATCGATTCAGGCACAGCAACCTAACAGGTAAGAACACAACCGCCTGCAGCTGTTGCACTATATTCAGTACTTCACATTAAACTATAGTCAGACCCGACAGGATAAGGAATTTAAACAATTTACCGTCAATACCCAGTAAAGGATCTATACTTACCTTGCAACAAATCCTGCACCCCCAACCCAATAAAAAATAAAGGAAAAAACAGAACACAACAGATCATTCGAGACAAGAAAGGCGAAAAGAAAAGAATCAAAACAGAGAGACACCATGATTCAGGAGGCGATTACAATCTAATCAATTAGGGGAATCCCTTGGGAACGGATGACCTCTACTAAAATTTGGAAAGAAAACCACATGGATATTAATCCAGGCTCCAGCCAAAAAAATCATATTCACATATCCTTCCAAAAAGAAAAAAAAAATTTGAGAAAAAAAATCTCAATTAAAATGAACAGGAAGGTTCGTACACAACATAAATAAAGCAAAACCAAAATTGCCCACCAAACTTTAGTCCACTGACTTCCAGATAATTCTTTATCATACAAAACCCAAAAAAAAAAAAATATATTGTAAGAGGAAAAACATACCATAACTGGCCAAGGTTTGATCGTCCTTTAGGATGCGGCCTTTGTAGATCAAGCGCTGCTGATCAGCTGGAATATCACAATTCTGAGCCAGAATTGATTTAAATGTCCCAACCGTGAATTCAAGACTCGTCCTCACCGAAAATTTCGAACCATTAGAACATCGAATATTAACACCAACTTTTTCTTCACCATCGCCACCGCCCTCAACCCGGTGCTCGCTGGAATCACCGTCGGCACCCATATCGTATCCACGCAGATCGATCAGGCAAATGAAGCTCGTAAAAACCTAACACCGACCCTATCCCCGAAAAAACATTGAAAACCCCGAAACGATAATGAAACCGGAAATTAAAACGAGAGAGAAAAAGTATGTACTACAATACAACACAATGGGTGGGAAAAAAARGGGGAAATACTGTAAACCAAAACGAAATTGAGTATTTACGGTTCAAAAACTTGTGAGAAAGGGGGAGAAATTGAATGAACGGGAATGGGTAGGTTGAGAAATTAGAAGGCAGTGATGGAATTGCGTCAGATTCGGCCTTTGTTCATTTGCTGTGAGAGATCGATGAGTAAATTTGGAGATGAATCGCATATTCGTCTTCTACATCGGGCCTGGATTTGCTCCTTCTTGTCCGGCAAGATAGGGTTTCGTCGTACAGTGGGCCTCAATTTCCAATTTTACCAGATATTCTTGGGCCTTTAGCCCTTTTTAAATCCATAAATTATGACCTTATATATTTTTTTCCACTTTTTAAAAATGTTATGGAGTATTTTCTTAAATTTATTCTTTATTATTAAAATTCTTTTAATTTAGTCCATGTGTTTTATTAGTTGGAATGCTAAAATTAGTAAAACCATTATTTGTGTTGGTGTTTTCAGATATGTGTTTGGTRGAACTTTCAAGTTAAAAAATTATTCATCGTATATTTAGAAATATATTTGTAAACTAATAGTAGTTACCAACTAAATATTTAGTTTAATCTAAAATAATATCAATTAATTTATTAATATTTTTTATTATAAATTTTGTATAATTATTATTGTACAATGTTATATAATCTATAATATATTATATTTTTAATTTTTTAATTTTAACAAAGATAAAATCAGTTTATAASATGAAATAATATATATTTATTAAAAAATTTATTTTTTTAATATAGTTCTACATTTTAAAATTTCAAATACAAAATCTAAAAACACTCAAAAACATAAAATGTTTGGATTCGAAAAATAGTTTTTAAAAAACAAATCTACAAAAACATATTCACTAGATCGATCTGAAAATAATAAATAGAATTTGGATGGTCAGCTAAATAGGCCGTTAGAGTTTGTCAGAGAATTCAAATTCTGTTTTTTATTTCCAAATTTACTGAATCAAATAGATATCTTTTTGACATATTTATTTTCGAAAATTGTTTTTGGATGGTGTGATCTAAACCGTAAAAATTATAAAAAGATCCATCAATGTACATGAAAGAACATAAAATTGTTCTATATTAGATTAGTAGAGACAAAGATACCTAATTAGCATTTAGCAACCACCTGTGGGAGCTTAAAAAGTTTCTTGTATGCACTCAAAGTACAGGAATATATTTTCCACCATGTCCGATTCTATTTTTAAATAATAAATATATATTTTATTAAATTATGAATAAATTATTAAATATTTTTTAAACTAATTATTCRTACTAGTAAATAAATATAATTTTTATTTATTTATTTCTCTTTTTTATTTTTAAAATTCTAAAAATAATTAAAAATAGTTACTAAACTGGTAAATTTTTTCATGAAGATCCCCGTCCCCAAACGAGTATTCCTACTTTTCGAGAATGTGGTAGAGACCAATTGTTGTTACGGTTTAGAACCTTTTGTACGAGTGTACACAACCGTTGTAGAAGTGATAAAAACATGGTATCCATAGGGATTGATAACTAAACATTTCAACAATTACTTAAGAAAATAAACAAATTAACAAAATATGTTTTGAACAAGAAAAACTAAAGGAACTCAAACAAAATAGTGCATAGATGATTTACTGGGTAAAAACAAGTAAGAACCAAGCAGAACTAAACTGATTAAAGGAAAGTGTGCAAATAAGAGATTAAATATTGATGTTTAAAAGGGTAAGGGGAAGAGTTTATGTGACTCTTTCTGGGCATACGCAAGCAATGCTACAACGATGTATTATACTAGCCAAACAGACACAGAATCTTCCTCCTAGATTTTCTGTTATTCATGTTTTTAGACAAACTTGACAGCATAGATACTCAGTTGGATTTTTTCTTTTTCTCCCCCTTTTATAAGATGTAGTAAGAAAAAAATAGCTCTAAGAGATCGTAGTCCTTATATCTCCTCAAGTGCTTTCCTCGCTGAGCATATGATTGCCCCGCCCACTTTGTCACCAGGGTTTCAGTGCATACGTAGGCARGTGGAGGGTTGTCGCTGCCCAAATGCAAAAAATAAAAAACTCTTTGAAGAAGAGGACGCTTAATCCTCAAGCTCATCACCYTGGTACCGCTGCTCGTCCTCTGGTTTCAAGAAAAAAGAGTTTTGGCCGCCTCTTCGAGTAAAAACTGTCGAAGACAAGGATTAAATCTTTATTCAGTGGGATAAAAAAGGAGACGCAGTTGACATTAGGAGATAGAGAGCAAAAGGAATGAATCTAGTGTACTTAGTAAAGGCAATCACAAACAAGAAAACAATTAGTCCTTATGCACCCTTCCTATGGAATTCTTATGCGCCCTCCTTATGTCCACAATTCCAAACCTTCAATCCTTGATCATCCCCTGGGCTTAGTTCACATGTTCCAGCAAGCTACGGCTTTGACGAGCAGCAAGTACATAGTTCCTATCAAAATGAAAAGCAGCAAGCTTCACTTGAAGAAGCGAGCCCCTATCAGAGAAAGCCAGTGCGTGCTAGACGCGGCCATCATAAATGGTTCTGGCGACGGTGGCGTAGGCAGGTTTAAGATAATCTTTATAACCTTACTAGGTGAACTTTATTCCTAAGTACTCACACTCTAACTAAAGTATAATCTAGCACGAATTGAAGTCAAACACTTCCTATTAAAAATTTTCAAGAGTTAATAAGAAGATATTTCAATATGTTGGACAAGCACATTGAAAATAAAATGTTAAGAACAACTTCAACTCAGATCATCAAGTCAAAGCAAAGTTTACAGCCCAAGAACAAGTTCACGGCATCCTCCCCTTACAAATAAACTTAGCTACGTAATGTCATACAAGAAAAGGGAAAAAGAAAATACAAAACTAGTGTACTAAATAGTAAAGAAGAAGAAAAGGAGGAAAAACAACAGCCCTTCACTCCCTTTGTTGTCTTCTTCGGGTTYCTCTCCAAGTGTCTTCCTTTTTCTCTTGTCTTGTTCTCTCTAGGGTTGCTTTGAAAAATGAGTATGAATGGAGGCAACTCAAAGCATTTATACCCCTCTTCAATTTTAAGACAACCAAAATGGATAAAACGGGGCCCAGCCCAATTTATTGGCGAATCTACATTTTACTGTAGTAAATTTTCGTCACTATCATCTTTATTTTTTTCTGCATTTTTTATTCTGATGTTGCAGCATCAACAATGCTGCAACAAAACATTCAAAATTATGTCATTCTTCATAACGCTCAATATTGTCTAATAAGGTAAAGATGTTAATAAATGTAAAACATTATTTGCACAAAATCAGTGTAGAATGGATGTTAGTGTGGCTATCCTTAACTAATTTATATGGAATTTTTAAATAACTTTGTTTTAGAGAGTTATCAGGAATACTAAAATTTTCAGGAGAATGAATGATAAGACTTGATTAAAGGCTAAAAAGTGTAGGTTTACATGATGGTTATTTTGGATGAAAAATATATGTTCAGGTATATAATTTAGGGAAAATATGCCTTATTTGTGATTAAGGACTTTGAAATTCAGTTATAGATAAATGAAGGTTAATTTGTGTAAATATGTTTATTTTGTAAGGAAAAGTGAAGATTGATGATCACAATGAGCACATCGCATGACCAGAAATTCTAGCTTACTAGAGGAATGAAGTAGCCAGATTGCTTTGAAAGTTTCAGCTTCACAATACTTCAGCCACATTTGATGCCTAGATGATCAAAACGTGAATAACCACTTTTGACCAAGTAATTGGTCCAAGATTTGTTATTGGTTCCTAAAATCTCTACAACCTCATTTGGTTCCAACCTACCATGCATTTATCAACTCTTTGTTACCTGGCCTATAAAAAGAGCTTCCAAGCATCACTTCAAAATATCTCATTTTTCCATACTCTTGTTATTCCTTTCTATTTGTTATCAACTTTAGTTTTTAAGTTTTGTTTTTCAATTATTTTTCTGCAATTACTCTTGTTTATTTTATTGCAATTCAATTTGTTTCATTTTGTAATTTCTTTCCAATTTCAATTAAAATGCATGTTTTTGTTATCTCCTCTTGTGTTTTCATTACTTTCATTTCTATGGGTAGCTAAATTGTTTCTTCAACCCTCCTACAAATGATTTAGTTGATCATCTATTTTAAATTACATCTATCAGTGAGCACGGCGTACTCTTTTTGCTTATTTTGGTTGATACAATTTATCTAGTTGATTTTCTTGTTGGCCACTTGTCTAAATCACGTCAGTTTGAATTTAATTTTGAGAAGGTTAGAATCAAACAGATCTCATCAAGGTAAAATGGGAAGTTACTTAGAAATAATAACTAAAACAAGATCTTAGACATATGCTCTCTTACCCGTTAAACGTAAGTTGAAACTTGATTTATTTAGGATTCTAGAGTTGCATAGACATATGTAAACACTAGCCTAAGCTTCTAAACAAACCAAAAGCGGTATGAAATAGGAGTTGAACCAGTTTGCATAAATCGAGCATAATTACAGGCACATTTGGTAGGTGTAATTCATCTTTTTAATCCCTGTGTTTTTAAATTGTGTTTCCCAACATATTCACCAAATTTTTATCCCAAACCCAATTACTAATCAAGCAGTTTACAAATTCTTTTTTAAAAGAAAACTAGTCCTTGTGGAGACGAACTTGGAATATTTCCATGTATTACTTGTGATAATGTGCACTTGCACTTCTCCTCGAGCTATTAAGTAGAGGCGCAACAATAAAGATGAAGATGACATCTCCTACTCCCACCCTATCACATTATGATATGTCATATAGATTCTTCTTTCTCAAGTATATCTCTCCAACTCTTTAACTTTTCTCAAGTATATCTCTCCCAACTCTTTAACTTTTGAAAACGTAAGACAAAACTAAAAATAGAAAATAGAAAATAGAAAAACTACAAATCAAAAACAAAAATGGTTGTCCTTGTCCTAAATAATTGATATTAGATGTGAATTATGGAATTTTTTTGCTACACTTACAAGTCATAACTTCTATGATAATCTTCTATTTGCTTTTAGTTATATATTTATTTATGAATTTTTAAAATGTCAATTTCTTAATAACAAAACAATTCACGTCTAGTAATTGTTAGGATACTTTTAAGGGATTCAACAAAATCATATGAATTATTATTATGTTGTTATTGTAAGCATAGTTCAATTATTTAAGGAACTATAAATTTGACTAAAAGATTAT